GCATGTGTGCATGGTATGGGGCCACACATGGCAGAAGGCATGGTTGAAGGTCAAAAGATTACTAGGAAGAGTCAGTACCCTCCTTCCACTGTGGGTCATGGGATTGAAGTCAGGCTGTCAAGCTCAGTTTTAAGTGCCCTGGATTTTTAATTAAATTTTTTTTAAATTTTATGTGTATGGATGTTTTGCTTGCATGTATGTAAGTGAACCACATGTATGCAATATCCTGTGGAGGCCAGGAGAGGGTTTCGGATCCCCTGGAACTGGAGTTATAGTCAGTTGTTAGCCACCATGTGGGTGCTGGGAATAGAATCTGGGTCTGGAAGACCAGCAAGTATTCCTAACCATTGAGCCATCTCTCCAGCCCCCTTTTTTGAGACGGCCTCCCTGTAAGCCACAGTTGGCCTGGAACTTGCTATGTAGACCAGGCTGGCCTTGATTTCACAGAGATCTGCCTGACCCTGCCTTCCCAGAGTTGAGATCACACCTGGCCTCTTTTGGTTTTTTGAGACAGTGTCTTGCTATATATCCTGGTCTAGTCTTGAACTTATGACCCACCTGCCTTAACTTTTTGAGCATTGGAATTATAGGCTCATGCCACCACAGTTGGCTATTGTAAATCTCCCATTAACCCATCTAATGAGTACTCTATAAAACAAACTAAAATATGTGCATTTGACTAAAAAATGGTAGGGAAAATCATATACAAATTTTAAGTAGACACAATGTTAAATGTGAAAGAAGAGATCATGAAGAAAAAATGGTTAAAACTTTAGAAACATATTTAGTAACATATACATAACTTCTACCTGAAAAGTCTTTTCTTATTTATTTAAAAATAATTTTATTTTGCCGGGTGTGGTGGCGCACGCCTTTAATACCAGCACTCTGGAGGCAGAGGCAGGCAGATCTCTGTGAGCTCAAGGCCAGCCTGGTCTACATAGTGAGTTCCAAGACAGCTGGGGCTACAGGGAGACCCTGTCTCAAAAAGACCAAAAACAATTTATTTTAAAACTTTTATCTATTATTTTTAATTTTTGTGTATGAGTGTATTGCCTGAGTGTATGAAAGTGCAACCGTGTCATGCAATTCCTACAGAGGTCAGAACAGGGTGTTGGAGCCCCTGGAACTGAAGTTACAGACAGTTGTTAGTTGCCATGTACATGCTATGAATCAAACCCAGGTTCTCTGCCAGTGCTCTTAACAGCTGAGCCATCTCTTCCGCCGTGCTGAAAAGTCTTAACTGAAATATAGTCAACAATCTAGTCTGCTTGTATTGCTTGCTAGGACATTTACTCACTTTCTAAGATAGGACTTGGAATCTTTTAACTCTTCATTATATTGAATAATACATCTGTGTCATTTTTCTCATCTTTTACCTTTTTCATCTTTCAATATATCTGCATCATAAATCTCTCCATCATGGATTCAAAATGACAAGGATAAGGGATGTAGCTCAGATTTCTGAAGTATGTGTGAGAGAAAAAAAAAACAAAAACAGCCAGGTATGGTGGCTCATGCCTTTAGTCCCAGCACTTGGGAGGCAGAGGCAGGTGGATCTCTGTGAGTTCAAAGCCAGCCTGGTCTACATTGTGAGTTCCAGGCTAGCTGGGGCTACAGGGAGACCCTGGCCTAAAAAAACAAAAAAAAAAAAAAAAAAGAAAAAGAAGAAAAAGAAAAAAAAAGCTCACAACAAAATAACTTAATGTGTTTAAATGTATTTTACCAGTTTAGAGACTGAAAACAAATTTGATTTATTTTAGAAAGTCCAGTGGCACTCAAGAAGCTGAGGCAAAGGGATGAAGAGTTGGTGACAGCCTGGGATATATACTGATGCTTGCTTCAAAATAAACAAAGGAATGTGCTTCCAGTCTCATCCACTCCTAAGCACCACCCTCTTTTGCTTTATATGAAGCAAGTTATTGAACACAGTCACTAAATATAGAAAATAAAGTGTATACTTTCCTGTCAAACCTTTTATTTATTTACCTCTCTCTTTCTCTCTCAACAGGGTCTCACTATGTAGCACTGGCTGGCCTGGAACTCATTCTGTATACCAGTCTCTAACTCAGATTCACCTGCCCCAGCCTCCCCAGTGCTTGAATAAAGGCGTCTGCCACCTTGGCCAGGGATTCATGTCAAACCTTTTTTTAAAAAAAAATATTTTATTAGGCCAGGCGTGGTGGCACACGCCTTTAATCCCAGCACTGGGGAGGCAGGTGGATCTCTGTGAGTTCAAGGCCAGCCTGGTCTATATAGTGAGTTCCAGGACAGTTGGTGCTACAGGGAGACCCTGTCTCAAAAAGACCAAAAAAAAGAAAAAAAAACTTTTTTTTTATTTATTGGGGCTGGAGAGATGGCTCAACAGTTAAGAACACTGGCTGCTCTTGCAGAAGACCCGGGTTCATATCCCAGCACCCACATTGTAGCTAACAACCATCTATAACTCCAGTTCCAGGGGATCCGATGGCCTCTTCTGTCCTCCGCGGGCATTGCACGACATGAGTGAACTTACTTGCATGCCGGCAATACATTCATACACAGAAAATAAAAATAATAAAATATTAAAAAAATATTTTATTTATTATTTAAAAATTATTTATTTACTTTTAACCACTGAGCCATCTTTCCAACCCCTCATGTCAAACCTTTTAGAAGAACATAGACCTCTGACTTCTTGCAGTGGGGTTCAGCCACATCCAGCCCTGTCAATCACATTTTCCAACTCATTCATTCACATTCACATTTATTTGTTTATTTTATTCTATTTTTAGTCTTTTTGAGACAGCAGCCTTAGCTGGCCTGGAACTCGCTCTGTAGACCAGGCTGGCTTCAAACTCACAGAGATCTACCTGCCTCTGCCTCCTGAGTGCTGGGATTAAAGGCGTGCACCACCACACCTGGTATTTGTTTATTTTTGTATTTTTGTGTGGATTTTTCTCTTTTTTTTTTTTTGGTCATAGGGTCTTTAAATAGCTCAAACTGGTTTCAAACTTTCTAGGTAGCTGAGGATGACCTTGAACTCCTGATCTTCCTGTGTTCTCCTCCCAAATGCTGGGATTCCAGGTGTGAGCTACCACATCCAGCTTCACTCATATTTATATTCTTCCTTCCTTCCTTCCCCTCCCCTCCCCTTCCCTCCCTATTCTCTATGACAAACAGCATATTATTTTAGTGACTCACATGTCTGTCTAAAAGCTTAGGATCAGCCCAACTGCCTTTATGTGGGACCATGAATCTTTAAAAAACTCCAGTCAGGCATGATGGCATATGCCTGTTATCTTAGCACATGGGAGGCAGAGGCAGGAGGATTGAGAGTTCCAGGCCAGCCTTGGTTAGACAGTGAGACCACACCTCAAAAATGTAAGAGGTAGGGATGAAAGTTCAGTGATAGTTTGGCACTGGGGCAAAGACCAGAACTCAGTTTCCAGCACTACAAAACCAAGACCAACCAACAAAACACTCCACTGTTGTCTGGAAACCTCACATGTGAAAAGAGAGAGATTTTCTGGCTATAACTGGTACCTTTGCTGAAGACTAGCAAGCTAGAAGACCACATTTTTACAGTGTCCTCACTGCTCCTACAGAGGAACCAAGCGGTATTCCCTGGGTTCCCTAGTCTCAGATATGGTCCAAAAGAAAAATCCCAAACTTTTCCCGTTTCCTTTCCACATTTATATTATGTTTCATACACTCTTGTGAATGTGAATATATATTATGCAAAATATGGTGATGCACACCTGTAAGCCCAGCCTTCAGGAGGCTTAAGTAGGAGGATTGCTTGGTACCAATGTTAATAACTCTGCTTGT